GACAGCGAGGTTGGCACAGGATAGAACGGCATTTAAGGCTCTTGTACATAGGGTCGCTTTGAGTCGCAAACGACTCGAAGGCACGTAACAATAACAACAACAACAAATATATATATATATATCAGTGCAGTTTCTATTTTCCATAAATGTTTTTTATAAGAAAAATGCTGTAAACTTGGTTAGCACCATTCCTTGGTACCACTATTCCTCCTCAATGCCAAGATACAGTGTTTTTAACATGAATATTCATAAATCCACTGCTTTCCTTACACTAACTTAAATTTTTGGTTGTTTTTTGCTGACGAGTGGAACCAACAGGGCTCCAATCAATGACACTTCCATAGGAAGCATTAATTAAAACTCATCCTTGCTCTCCTCAACATTGTTTCCAATGTATTCATTCTGCAATAAAAGATAAAGAAGGCAACTGACAGGGAGGAACATCAGGATATCCTGAAGTCATGTTACTGGTGATTCCACTGGTGATTACATTGGAACATGTACTAAAGAGATGTATCATCATCCAAAACTTTATACAGCCATGCCTGAGCTTCTAGTTTCAAATAATGAGATTCATGTCTAATGCATATGGAAAAAATGTCAGTGCCTACACTATAATTAGAATAGTCATTCCTTGTTCATTAGATTTAATGGGTCTCAAGTTATCATGGGGACTTGGAAGCCTTTGACTCTCATTATTATAAATAGATACAGGAACATCAAACCAATGAACTAATTTTAATAAGGAAGGATTAGGAATATATGCCAAATAGCTGATATTATCTGCCATTACTACATGAATCAATACAGTAAGCATAGCTAAAAACAAATGTTCAGAAGATATTGGTTTCCCAGGTTTTTTTAAATACTTTCCCCCTTCCATTGTTAATTTCTTTATCTGGACCCATGTAAGTGTCTTAGACTTAAGTTTCCAGTGATAGTCCTCATGCTTGACACTTCTTTAATGTTATCATACTTATCCATTCTGAAACTTCGTCCTCGTCAAAGTATGGTCTCTTTCAGCTCATCTCAGGGTTTCACATGTCTGGATGACACCCACAGAATTTCTGTGCCTGTAGAAATATAAGGAAATCTTTAACCCTCGTGAATGACAAATCTCTTTTTCCTTCATTAGTCCGAGGTTCCCTAAAATACATAGACTGATTCTGCTCTTTGGCTGATTGTAATACCAAATGTCTTTCAGCTGGAGTTTCTCCTTTTTCATTGTTGTTGTTGTCAATTGCCGTCAAGTCGAGCATGACTCATAGCAACCCTATGAACAAAAGGCCTGCAGCCCCTCTACAACTATAGACATTTATCAAAGTTCATAGGGTTTCTGGGGGAATGTTATTTAGGAAGTTGATGACACTCCTGCTTCCAAACCTGTCATAGTATGTTATCGTTGTTATGTGCCATTGAACCACCTGTGATGTAGCCTGGCCATTGTTGTTGTTAAGTCATAGGCGACTCATAGCAACCTTATGAATGAAAGTTCTCGACACTTGTGTGCAAGACTTTCATCCTTTCTCCAGGTTCATAGGGTTTCCAGAGGCTTGTTTCAACCAGGGAGCACCACCAAACACTGTCCATCATGGATAACCGTTATCACATTTGACACATCAGTGCTACAGTGTTCAGCTTCACAGTGACCACAAGTTACCACTGTATGGAAAGTGAACACACCAGGGCTATATGACCTAGAAGACTGCTGAACAAAAACAATGAAAAACAGGCCTGAAGGCCCCAAGCCCGAGGGCCCTTCAGGATTTTACCATTATCTTGCATGCCCAAATGCTGGCCAACTCAATTTAATGTAAATAAGGTTTTGGGTTTGTTTTTTTTTTTAATAGTTCAGGGAGGTATTTGTCCTATCACATTTCCCCCTTTTGGTTCTTTTGGGTTTTGGGGGTTTCTTAAAAAACATAGTTTGTAAAGTTAAAATTAGCCCTTTAGCTTGTCCTTGGTGATTATAAGGAATACCAGCAATGTGCTTAATGTTCCTTTTTTTGGAAAAATTCTTGTTTTTTCTTAGAATTATAAGCAGGAGCATTGTCAGTTTTAATACTTGATGGAAGATTCATA